TCCTCATTAGTGGAAGTACCAGCCAGAGAAGGCAAATCTACAATTGGTGCCAGCTCAGGGAACCCCAGGCAGGGGGTGCTAAGCCAGGTTTATAGGCAAAACAGATCTACACTTAAAAGTTTAAGTGCTAAAATCTCATAAACTGATGCTTGCAAGGGTCACTAAAAGCTTGTCTGGGTAGGGGGTTTTGAGGCTTTTGGGCCAGAACTATTTCCCAGTCTGACTTTTTGCGCTTTATCAGCACCTGCCCTGTGAAAGACTCTGCAAACCCTCACACTGGAACAGAGATGATGCCACACCACAGTTCTACAGGGACCTGGTGCACTGGGAATCAAGTTGATTAAAAAAATACATGTATGTATCTTGTACTTTATATTTTGTTGTTAAAATACGGTTCCACCAAAGTTTCACGTGGATTGTCTGAACGCTCCCTGAGCCCCTTCAGGACTCAGAGAAGCTGCCAGAGCAGAGGTGTTTGACTGCAGGGAGATCAGCTGACACATTTAGGAAACTTTTTAACACTTACAAGAACTTCAGAAACATCTACACGGAACAACTTGTACAATGACTCTGGGTCAGTTCAGCATCCACTTCACTCTGCAGCATTTGGGAAATATCCAACACACTTTATCTGTTCTCCAGACCTCCTTCCTTCATACTCTGGAGGCTTATCAAGGCTTTGTACATTAAAGATCTTTCACCATCCTTTTCAGAGACATTGCCCTAAGACTTCCTCTGCAAAAATGTTGCAGGGATTATCCTGGATTTTCCACATGCTAAGTGAAAGACCCCTAGATTACTCATTTAAAAACATAAAACTTGAATTTATTTAAATTAAAGGCAAATCTTTAAGTTTGGGGTCTCTCTTCCAGAAATTCTGTCTCCTGCTTACTCTGATTCCATGTGTGGGAGCAGGAATGGCATGAGGCAGCAGTGATGATTTAGCACAGGCACCGGAAGAACCATTCCTTTAAATCAGTTATCCCGATGGTTTAAAGATTGGATCTGCCACTGCAGTGACTGGAGTGTGCTGTCCTGCCACAGGAGGGTAACAGGATATGGGAAATGATCTCCACCTTGGGCTTTCATGGGAGTGGGGTCGGGGAACACCGTGACCTCCCCAGAACAAGCCAAGGGACATCTTGCCATCAGAGGATGGAGCAGGAATTTGGGAGAGTGCTCTTCCTCACTCTCCAGCTCTAACCCTGCCCTGAAATCACTTGGTCCTCCATCTCTCTCCCATGACTTGCCTACCCAATGCGCGTGCCAGGAAAACTAGAGTGCTAAATCATTCCCAGCTCCGGAGAGGAAAGTGTATTCTTGTCAGTGACCTTTCCTGGCCTAGCAGGAAGCAGCACTACCCTCTCGTCAGGACAGGGGATGGAGCAGGAATCCTAATCGGGGACACGCAAGGGGAAGGAAATGCTGGAGAAGAGGAGGAGAATGGGAAGGAGGGAGGAAACTTCCAGGAGGGAAGGAAACACAAAACAACAACACGCCCAAACCCTCAGCGACGCTAAGGCAGCATCGGCCCGCCCGGGCCGTGCCCCGCCCGCTCCCCCCGGCATCCCGGCTCCCTCTTTGTTTTCCCGGCGGCTGCGGGGGGTTTGGGCGGCGGGGGGGGCTCCCCCCGGACCGGCTGCGTTCTGCGGGGGCAGCGCTGCCCCGCCGCGTCCCCGCGACCCCCGCCCGCACCTTCTGGTGCTTCCGCTCCTTCTCGATGCGGTCCATCCTCTCGAGGCGCAGGCGGTCGAGCTCCAGGCGCAGCTCCTCCATCTCGGGGTTGATGTGGTTGCGGCTCACGAGCACCTCCAGGATCTCCAGCACCCGCACCACCTTGGGCATGAGGCGGGCGATGGCCTCGCAGCCGTGCTGGTCGATGACCCGCTCAAACTCCTGCCCCACGGCCGAGGCGATGTCGTACACGTCCATGACCGTCAGCTCCGCCGCGTTCTTCTCCAGCGCGGGCGGGGCCCCGCCGCCGCCGTCCATGGCTCTGCCGGCCCCGCGGCTCCCGCATAGGCGGCGGCGGGGGCGCTCCGGGCGGGGCGGGACGAGCCCCCCTGGCAGGCGCTCCCCGGCACGTCCCGCGAACTCCGGGGCGGCTCGGCCGGGGGTGTTTAAACTTGGCCGGGCGGCGCTGGGGGAGCGGCGGCGGGAGGCGGGCGCGGCGTCCCCGCCACCTCCGCCCCGCCGCCCGCGGCCAATGCCCGGCTCGGGGCGGGCCGGGGGCGGCCCCGCGCATGTCCCCGGTCCCCGCCGATGTCCCCGGTCCCCGCCGATGTCCCCGGTCCCCCCGCTTGTCCCCGTACCCCCCGCTTGTCCCCGGTGCCCGCGGCTCCCCCCGTGCCGGACCCGCCGCGATGAGGAGCCGTGGAAGTCCCTGATCCGCGGGGCTTTGCTTTCCCCGGGGAGAGGAGCATCGCCAAGCGAGGAGCATCCATCCTTGTGCCGAGCGGCGGCAGCGCCGGGAGGGCTCGTGGTGCCGGGCAGGAGAACGGCGGGTTTGGGGGGGCAGAGCTCAAACACGCCCGTGCTGGGGGGTCCCACACAGGTGCCCAGCGCTGGGGCGGGTTCGCAGCATGGGTAGGGACGCGCCGGGGTGTCCGTGGTGCCCAACAGCGAGCGCAGTGCCCGAAGTTAAGTGCCCCGCGATGGAACTACATCCCAGTACCGGGATGGAAGGGGGAAGATGTTCCCCGGCTCCAGGAGAGGATGGAGGCTATGGGTGGCTGCGGGCACGTGGAATGCGGTGAACGAGCCGTTCTGCAGCGCAGCGAGGGGCTCGCACACGGCAGCTCATCGTTAGGGGGGTTTAGCTGCTCATCGTTGGGGGTTTTAGGCCCCCGCTCTGCACAGTAACAGAGTCTTTACTGTGCACGTGTCCAGAGGATCAGTGGAGGGTTTTATACATACAAGCAGTTTGCTGGCATGAATCCGCTTACAGATAATTTAAATTAAACCAAAATGTGTTTTTCTGGTCAAGTTTTTCAGTGTTTTTGCTTTCAGGTGTGACTGTGCACGTTTAGATGTTCTTACAGTGTTTAGGAAGAGGTGCTGTGGATGAGTCTTTACAGATAAATTAAATGTGCCTGGAAAAGATGAGTTAAATGTGCCTCGAAATATTTTTAGGTCCCAATCCTGCCACTCGCTGTGTGCAGAGTAGGAATAATGCATTTTATTTTGGACAAGATACGATGAATAATGTCAAACACTGGGACGAAGTCAGGAGAAATAACACTGGAGTTGCAAAAGCCAAGCTTGGAATGACTTGAGATGTGCTGTATGTTGTGAACACACCATTAATTATCTACTTTTAGCAGGTGCAGGTGAACAGGAGGGATGAAAGATGGGAAATGCAACACTCTGACGTGTTTCTTGTGTGCTGCCAGGAGGCACCAGGGCAGCCAGGAGAGCAACAGATCAGTCCCCAAATACCTGAGCTTGGCATTCAACTGCCTAACTTACAGCAAGAATCAGTGATATCCAGTGAAAGTATTTCCCTATATATTGTTCATGAAACTCATTCCCAAAGTTGAGCACCACAGGATATTGCACAAAGTTCCAGAGAGAGCAGGAGGATGAATAATGGTAGAGTCATCCTTTCCTGGCAGAGGTGCTTCTGGACGTGTGAGGAAGGGGGAGCAGCCTGAGCAGAACGTTTGGAGAAGGCTCTGCAGTGCCCCGGGGGAGCAGCTCTGCTGGGAAATCAACATTTTGGCCAAGTCAGAGAGGAGAAAAAGAGCTTATGCCATGAGAATTCAGCATCACATGTTCATTGTTATGTACAAGTGCACATAGAAGAGAAATGTAACAAAGTGGGGAATGTGAGAGTGGCAAGACTAAAACTGTTACTGAGGTAGATGAAAAACCAGCACAGTTTGTGCTGCGGGAAGCAGTAGGTTTGATGTTGGCTTGATCTCTGAAAACGACTTGGCACGGAAAGTTTCTTATCCAGCCACGTTCGTGACCTGCAGCTCTTCAGGTTCAGCTTTTCTTGCCGAAATCTTGCCCACACCCTGTGCCTGCACTGACACAGCAGCTCACACCTGGCAGCTGGAGGGAGAGCAGAGTTTACTGACGTAAATCCAGCATTTGGGTTACATTTGTCAAGACAAACACACCCGAGTATCACCAGAACAGAAACCGGCGCTTGTTGGCAAACCCAACACAAAAATATGTCACTGCAGAGCCAGGTTGTGGTTTGGTTTTAGCTCTTCTCCAGATCATTAAACAGCTACTCATGGAACGGGCTGCCTTAAGCACAGGAATTTCTGTATTTCTGGCTGAAATTTTTAATTGGAAATTCGTGTTTAAGCCACACAATGAACAGCTTTTTACACAGTTACTCTCGGGCGAGGCAGGATCTGGATGTGTCCTGAATGTGTTTCCTTGTGCGTGAACAGCCCACCAGACAGGCATCCGTGTCAACTTCTTAAACCTTGGCTGCTCCCGAAACCTCTCCCTGGCTGTGGCAGGTTTGGGTTTCCGGGCTTCAGGAGCAGCGGCCTCGGCAGGGCTGCGGTGACAGCGGTGGTGACAGCGGTGGTGACAGCTGCCTTCCCTCCCTGCTGCCTCTCCTTGTTCCCTCGGGAGCCCCCTCATTCCCCCAGGATCCCCCTCATCCTCTCAGGATCCGCCTCATCCCTTCAGAATCCCCCTCATTCCCTAATCCTCTCAGGATCCTCCTCCTCATCCCCCCAGGATCCCCCTCATTCCCTCGGGACCCGTTTCCCGCCTCCCGCTCTGGCCCCGCCCCATTGCCGGGCAACGCCCCCTCACCCGCGCGCCCGCCGTGCCCCGCTCCCATTGGCTTCCTCCACCACCGCTCCTCCCCCTCCTCCCCTCCCATTGGCCCCTCCCGCGCGGCGCGTCCCGCCCCCCGCTGAGCGCGGGCCCCGCCTCATCTTTGCTCCTCAGCGGCCGCCGTAGCTCAGCCCGTACGTGGCAACGGGGCGGTGGCGGCCAATGGGCGGCGGCCCCGTGCGCCGGAAGGGGCGTGGCGCGGGCCGGAAGCGCCGCTCGGTGCCGCTGTGCCGGGCTCCGCCATGTCGGCGCTGCGGGCGGTGCTGGCGCTCCTGGCCGCGCTCGCCGCCCCGGCCCAGCCCTACTTCGTGAGCATCGACGCGCACGCCGAGGAGTGCTTCCTGGAGCGCGTGCCGTCCGGCACCAAGATGGGGCTCATCTTCGAGGTGGCCGAGGGCGGCTTCTTGGACATCGACGTGGAGGTGCGGCGGCGGCGGCGGCGGCGGCGCGGGCAGAGCCGCCGACCTTGGGCGGCGCGGCGGGGCCGGGGCCGGGGCCGGGCGGGCGCGCTGGGGCTCTGCTGCGTGCGGGACCATACCCGCCGCAGGGCTCGGGATGGTCCGGAGCGGGTCGGACCCGCCTTGCCCGGGCGGTTCGGGGCGGTCCCTGCGGGGGCTCCGGGCAGCGGGAGCGCCCCCGGCCTCTCGCGGGACCAGGGGCCTCTACTGCTGGTCGCTCCTGCTGTGGCTGCCCGAGCCTGTCCTGCTGCTCTGTCCACTCCTCCCTCGGGATTTTCTTTCTCCGTGTAATAAATTATTGGGCGGGAAGATGAGCGCGGTCGCTCTTCGCCTGTTCCAGGAGCGCTTCCCCTTGAACCCAGAGGGGTTTGTTGTCTTTAGTCAGGGATTGCCATCTGGAAGTTGTGGGTGAGTCCTCGTCAAAGAGGTGTCACGTCAGTGGGAGATCCTGAGTGAGAGTTGCTGTTGCCGTGGTGAAGAACAGAGTTGTCTGTTTGGGGCAACTGAAGCGCGAGAGGGGTTAAAAAGCAGGGGGGTTGTTGCCGAGAGTCCTGTAACAGTTTTAAATTACACGTGGCTGTGGCACAAGAGTTGGGAAATTGTGAGATCTCGTTCACGTGTCACTAGTGGAAGCTCAGCAGTAGCTTGGCCGGGTGGGATGGAAATTCAGGATCACAGTGACCCTGGGAGCTCTGAACTCAGGCCCTCAGTCCGTTTGAAGTGGTCACTGCAGTAGTGCCCAGCTGTGTGTCTGAAGTCATATTGACTATTAGAGAATGGCTTTTTTCCCTCTTTGTTTCCCTTGTCACACCAGAGATAAGGTTTCCCCTGCAGTTGTTTGACTTACAGCCCCGGACTGTGGTTTCCTTGTTCTTAGGTGCTCCTTATCTCCACCAGGGAGGCCAGGGAGGGAGAGGCTTTGGTGTGACTTTCTTTACCAAGAAGTTTGTGAGATTTTAAAAGAGACTTCTGTACAGAAAAACTGCACCACAGAGTTGTGGGAGTTGAGCGGTGCCAGCCCTGGCAGATCCCAGCTGGTGTTGGTCACTGGGTAACTCCAGGGTGTGTTTGCAGGGCTGTAATGGTGCATTTTAACCCTCTGTGTTGGAAATGAAGTGTGTGATCCTTTGTTTCCCCCCCCTTTCCAGATTACAGGGCCCGATAATAAAGGGATTTACAAAGGGGATCGAGAGTCCAGTGGAAAATACACGTTTGCTGCCCACATGGATGGAACCTACAAGTTCTGCTTCAGCAACAGGATGTCCACCATGACCCCCAAGATAGTGATGTTCACTATTGACATCGGGGAGGCTCCCAAGGGCCAAGACATGGAGACAGAAGGTGAGGAACATTCCTGCAAGGAAATCGGGGAGCTTTTCCCTCCATGCATGACTTGTGAACTCAATAGGGCTCCCAGGATTCCCGTTCCTTCAGGTGTATCAGCTGTCCTGACACAGCTCAAGTGGATGTTTTTACACCTTGTTACACACAATTTAATGCAAAATCACCACAGAATCCCTTGGCCATCTGCAGAAACTAATGCTTCCATCCTTTAGTCCTTCAGCGGTGCCACTCTGATTTCTAGTTGGCTCAGCAGTATTTAGACCTCCACAGGCCTTAGTTGAGCTCTGACAAATGTGCTAATATCAGATTTTCCCCATAGCTGTGTAAATGACTGTTTTATCTGCAGCCCTTTGTCCTGTACCCGTGTTCATCTCTCACACTTCTCTCTAGGTGGTGGAGATACCTGGGATGGTATGTGGACTGCTTTTTGAAAGCTCCTTGGCATCTTGTCTCTGGCACATGTTCATTCACTAACAGCTAACTTGGCTTTTCCTCTGTAACATTTGTTTGGAGCATGAGAATGTCTTGTTAATAAACTACCCAAAAGGTCTGATTCTGAGCAATGCTGAGCACCCACAGCTCCCATGGACAGGTTCCCATGACAGTTTGTGTTCGGGTGGTTGTTTCTGGCTGACAGAAGATTTAATCAGGAGTTTTAGGGGAAATTCAACTAAATACTGAACGTGCAAGAGCATTGGATGTTTCAGGCAGTGGTTGCTTTCTGTTGCTAAAGGGGATGTTGAGTAATCAAGGGGTTTGGAAGCAATAAGCTGCTTCTAGGTTATGAATTATTACTGATGTGTCAAGGGAAAAACTCAAACTTGTCATTTGCTGTAAAACAAATAAATGAAAGTATTGCCTAACAAGTCATAAAGTTTATTTAGAAATGGTTAACTGTAGCTAGAAAGGCAACAAATTCTTGTTTTCTATTTTAGCAAGTAAATTACTGTGAGCATTGATTGCTTGATGCCACTTGAAAAGTAACACATTCCTAACTTTTTTTTAAAGGCTCACTTAAATCTTTTTTTTTGAGTCTGCATATATCTGTTGTAAAGAATATTAGTGCAGCTTTAAATTTTTAAGGCACTTTTCTTAAGTGAATTTTTTTGAGTGTGTTTAAACAATCCCTGCAACTTTAGTTTCTTTTCTTACTAATAAACTGCACTTACTGCAATGACCACTTGGCCATGAAAATAAGGGATTTATGATATTAGCAGAGGGAGTGTGGTTTGCACAACTATTTAGATTTTAATTGTCACTTGTGTGAGTGTTATTCTCTCGTGCTCTTTTTTGGCTGTGTATTTTGAATAGCTTCATTTTAAGATTGGGATCTGAAGCACCTAATTTATAAATAAAACTGTAATAAGGTAGTTTCCAAGTCAAGTGTGTCCCTTCAAAGGAAAATGTGTTGGGTTTTGTGACTTTTTTTAAGAGCTTATTGCTCGGGGTGTGTTTGTGGAGTGATGCCTTGAACTTGGTGCTAGAAAACCTTGCAAATTACTTGATTTATTAATTTGTAGGTGGACAGTTCTTTGAGCTTGGATGGATTAAAAAGATCCTGTGATTGACAGTCAAATCACTAAATCTCAGATCTCTGAGCCTTCCATTTGCTGAGCTGTCTCCAGCTAGTTTTCTGTTGCTGGTTTGGTATTTTCCTCCTCTCCTGCTTTCACAACACACCAGAACCTGGAGCCTTGTGCCCTCTCAGTGTTGTGCCCCAGCTAAACCTGAAGATCACAGGTTGAGATTTGTTGCTCCAGAAAGTGATCTCATTTGCCAGCATCATGATCTTGAGCTAAATTCTCAGTCATTCTATTTTTGCAAGCTTAACAACTAGGAAAAGCTGTCATTTGCCTTGAGATAATTTGCTTGGAATATATTGGATGAGATTGGCAAAATAGCTGTTAGTGTGTGGTATTGATCTCGTGTGTCCTTCCATTCTATTTTTCTGGGCAAGTATGTGCATATTGGAAATACTGACTCTAATTTGTGTGTCTCCTGCCTCCTAGTTGGATGTGGAGAAATGTTTTCCCACTTGTTTAATACCATAGAGACACATTAGGGAAAGTGGTGCTGTGAAAACTAAACTTTGCTGTAGGAATAGAAAGTTTTACAGGCTGCGTTTGTCAGAACTTCTGCAGCAGGAAATTAAGTTTAATTGTTCATAAATGTTAACAAATCGGTTTTTGAGTCATTAACAGACTTACTGATGCTTCTGAAATTATTCTGCAGCTCACCAGAACAAGCTAGAAGAGATGATTAATGAGTTAGCAGTGGCCATGACAGCTGTGAAGCATGAACAAGAGTACATGGAAGTTCGTGAAAGAATACATAGAGCAAGTATGTGTCTGACTTCAATGCCTTCTCCCCTCTCAAATGAACTTGTAAATTGAGATTTAAAATATGAGCCCATGAAAACTATTCCAAGTTACTTAAAAGAAAATAGTTTAGAATAAATTCTGAAGGACCTGCCCATAGAATAAAGAATGTAGGTGAATTTTGCAGTCATCCTTTAATTGGCTTCCTCTCATGTAAGAAGGGTTGTTATGGAAAATAATGTTTGCTTAATTGGTGTAAATTCTGTAGTTGTTTGAATGATGTATTCCTGGGGATACCAGTGATGATATTAATTCTTAATCTATTTACATGGGCAGGTAGAGACAGGACAAGAGGATGGTTTTAAACTGAAAGAGAGTAGTTTTAGACGGGATATTTGGAAGAAATTCTTCCCTGAGAGGGTGGTGAGGCCCTGGCACAGGTTGCCCAGAGAAGCTGTGGCTGCCCCATCCCTGGAAGTGTCCAAGGCCAAGTTGGACGGGGCTTGGAGCAACCTGGGATAGTGGAAGGTGTCCCTGCCCATGGAAGGGGTTGGAATAGGATCAACTTCAAGATCCTTCCAACCCAAACCGTTCAGGGATTCTGTGATTTGGTTCCCAGGAATAAATTTTACTTGAACTGTTACTTCACCCTTGAAGTGGATGTGGCTTAATAGTTGAGCCAGAGTCTTTTAAATGTTTCACTGGAAGAGAGCAGAGCTACTGTTCCTTTCCTGATGAACTCTGCAGTCACAACCCCCACGTGCTAAAACACAGCTTTAAAGTGAGACTCAGCTCCAAGTGCTGCCTTGGGGTAACCCCGGTGAGAATAAAGGGCAAATATTTTCAATGTGAAAATACTACATTCTGTTAAAGCATTGGACCCTCAACTGTTTGAACTTATCTTCAGTTTTATGATGTTTGTTACTAATGGTCTGATTTAAGAAAAAGCTGGATTTTAGAACTAAAGATGGTGAACCTTTAGAGATTAGGAGTTCCCTGCTTGACTTTGAGACTGTGAAAAAGCAAGTGGCTCCTGTATGGCAGCTCAGAGAGGCCAGACAGAGGCTTGTAAGGTGGGCAGAATAGAGAAGGATGCTGCAGTGTATGTCCAAAGTGGGTTTAAAACCAAACTGTTCAGAAAAATCCCTCCCTCATCTCTAAGGCTGCAGGGCACTTCAGGGCGCTTCTGGGCCACGACATGACACAAACACCGGTGGTTTATGGGCAGTGTTTCACTTCCCATGACAAAGTGTTTCAAGTTTAAATGCTTTGTAACTTACTGCTTCTCTTTTTTTTTCCCCCCCCAACAGTCAATGACAACACGAACAGCAGAGTGGTTCTGTGGTCATTCTTCGAGGCCCTTGTACTAGTTGCCATGACACTGGGACAGATCTACTACCTGAAGAGGTTTTTTGAAGTCCGAAGGGTGGTCTAAGAGTCCTCCTGCGGTCCCGGGTTTCAGTTCACTCTCTACCAAACATCCTGGTCACAAAAATAAGTCACTTAGTTTTCTGAACCCTCTTTACTGAACTGTAAAACTTCTTTGCTTATGTTCCTTCCCAGCTGAAAACGAGTTGTTTTTATATATCTCCTGTAGCAAAAGCTGTGCTGAAATCTTGTCACTTTATTGGCATCTTTTTCCCACTGAGATCTGCGCAGTCTGTGTGCTAAGCAAGGTCCAGGCAAGCTGCAAACGCTGTAACTCACTGTAGTAACAAGCAATGTTGATGTCTTCTCTAACTTCTTTTTCCCTCTTTCCATAAGTATTTGCAGTTCTGCCCAGGGAAACGGTACAAGGCCCAAAAGGTGACTGTTTGCATTTTTACATCTTTAACCCTGCAGTAGGTGTTATAAAATTGAAATAATCCCAATAATCCCTTCCCCACTCACAGAAACTGCCAAGGAAAAGGTTAAAATTTGTACCTAGTTGCTCTTTCAAAGATAGTCATCAGCAATGAATTACATCAACTTCTTCCCAAAGTTCTTTTAAATGAAATAGTTGCTGTGAAAGTGCTTTTTCTCTGCTCATCACCAAATGTTCCTCGTACGGTTTTTAGTCTCCTGAAGGTTTTATTTGGAAGCCAATTGTGTGCAGTGTCTTGGCAAACACTAGCAAACCCTTTGGCTTTTGCAGGTCCAAAGCTCAGACTGTTTGCCCAGTGCCCAGGGCATTTAGTGTTCAGGAAATCTGGATTCCTGAGGCCAAAGGGTTCCAGATTCGGGGGGTTTCTCCACGCTATGCAGCCCTTGTATTTAAGTGCAGTGGCAAACTCTGCCATGATCTGATCAGAATTAGCATAATGCTAAATACTGGTGTGTTTTCTTTTTCAGGCACATGTAGATTTGTTTTTGTATAAAGTTCCTTTCCTCGGTATCTGATGATTGGTTTAAAAAAATTAAAGCAGCGTCTGATGTGGGTGCTGAGCCAGGATTATGTTGTGACTGATGTATATTAGTTGTAATCATTTTTGGGGGTGGGGTGGGGTCTTTTCCAGGGGGGAGCCTCTACAAGTAACACACAACAGTTTTGTACAATTAATTTAAAATTTGTTACAGGTTTTCATGTTCCAGGTAAAGTTTTTTCAACCTCGGGCAAACACTTGCAGCAGTTCTTCAGAGAGGTGGCTCTTACACCTTTATTGCAACTGTTGTGTGCCAATATTTTTGTGTAAAACACTGAAAATTGAATTCTAAGATGTACATTTAAAAATTGCTCGTGAATCTAAATATGACCCAGGTTCGATAAATAAACAAATTCTTTAAAAAAAAAAAAAAGGCAACTTTGCGTTGTTTTTCTTTGGTTCTTTAAGGAAGTCCAGATTAACGTAAAGAGGTTTATAAAGTATTTGTTTAGTAATGGCCATAAATTAAAACACAAGAAGTTCCACCTCAACATGAGGAAGAAGTCTCCATGGAGGGTGGCAGAGCACTGTAGCTGCCCAGGGAGGACATGGATTCTCTCTGGAGACATCACAAACCCACCTGGAATTCCTGTGTCACCTGCTCCAGATGACCCTGCCTTGGCTAGGGGGTTGGACTGGACGATCTCCAGAGGTTCTAACCCTAAGTGATTCTGTGCTATCTTAGGATGTCAGGAATTTATCCAAACGGCATCCCATTTTCTGGGCAGGTGGACGAATTCCAGGTAATTCTGAACCTACATCTTTGCTCCCCAGCCCCGAGCAGCCAGATGGCACAGTGCTTCTATATGGCCCGCTGAAGTACTTACTACGATAAGCCATTTGCCACAAAAATAGTGTTGTTTTTTTTTTTTTGCCATACCCAAAGTTTGGCGTTTTCTGCGGAGTTTCCTGAGGCAAAACCGCTCGGGGAGGGGGGGCGGAACCGAAGTGCCTCGGAACGGAGGTGCCGCCTCGCGTGTTTCCGGGGCGGGGGAGCGGCGGGGCGGTGACACCGCGGGGCCAAGATGGAGGCGGTGACTGAGGGGAGCTGGGGGTCCCTCCCGGTGCCGCTGAGCCCGGGCGTGCTCCGGGCGCTGCGGGAGCTCCGCTTCCACCAAATGACCCCGGTGCAGGTGAGGGGCCGCTCCCGGCCGGCCCCGGCCCCGAGCTGCGGGCGCTCTGCCTCCACCAAATGACCGCGGTGCAGGTGAGGGGCCGCGCCCGCCGGCCCCGGGGAGGGAGGCCGGGCTGAGGGAGGAGGGGGTCAGATCCGCGGCCACAGCACTTCCTGGGTCCTGTAGAAGTCGCGCTCTTGGCTTTCCCACCGGCTCTGCTCGGGTGATGTTCGCAGACGGCTCTGGTGTCTCCTGGAGGGATTTCGCCTCTGTGAGATTTCCCCCCGTGACCGGTTCACCCGCTCATGAGATTCTTCTTTTTTCAGTCCGCGACCATCCCGCTCTTCATGAATAACAAGGACGTTGCTGCAGAGGCGGTGGGTGCTTTTCCTCGGCTTTGCTCTTGGCTCAGGAGCTGAGATCGGAAATCTCGGAGATCTGACGCTGTTTCCCTTCTCGCAGGTGACGGGCAGTGGGAAGACCTTGGCGTTTGTGATTCCCATACTGGAAATTCTGCTCAGACGGGAGGAAAAGTTAAAGAAAATGCAGGTAGGGTCAGGTAATTCAGTTATGAGTATATTTTTTATGATGTGCCAGTAAGATATGAGGACTTCAGGAACGGTATCCATAAGGATGTGTACATACAGTGACTGTGCTCAGCTCTTTGGTGTAACAGTAACAATAAACTTGAAAATATATATTAGGATGCTTTCACTGCACTTTGATACAAATTCTCCTTTGACATGATCAAAACAGGGTTCTGAGCTGTTAGAAAAATGTCCTAAAATGTAGAATACGCTGGAGTACTACAAGTGAGGCTTTGAATGCTTTTCAACATCCATTAACTCTGAATACATTTTAGTGAGGAGAGAACTTCACTGTTATGTGCTGTTAAATGCCATTATTAGGTACTGCTCTTTGAGCAGAGGTGTTTTGCACATTGATAAAATGCTTCTTTCACAGATATTATCTATCATTTTATACACTTATTGTATTTCCGTGGAAATAATAAAACCAATATTTCTGTTTTGTCTAAACTAGGATCAAAGTCGTGGCTCATATTCACTTAGCTTTGAAGTGAGAATTTTGCCCAAATCTTTCTTCCAGTCTGTTATTTTCCATAAATTCCTGTTTTCCACGGGCAGGTTGGAGCCATAATTATCACACCAACGAGGGAACTGGCCATTCAAATCCATGAGGTGCTGTCACATTTCACAAAACACTTTCCCATGTTTAGGTGAGTGAACTTCAGCCTTTCCATGACCATAATTCCTTCTCTGTGCTTCTGTCATTCATGAAGCAGCAAAACTTAAGGACCCAAATCTTTGTGTTTTATTGTTTCAGTCAGATTCTATTAATTGGTGGCAGGAACCCAATGGAAGATGTTGAAAAGTTTAAGGAACACGGGTGAGTGGATTGTCAGGGCTTTTTATCAGTGTCTCAGAGCTCTGGTTTTCTCCTTGTCAGGGATTCCAGACCAGGACTTTGGTCCTGTTGCTGCTGAAATGTGATGGTGCTGCAAAAGTCTGTTGGGGGTGGCTGGGAAATTGTGGAGTCTTTGAGTAAGGAGACAGTGGGAAAGGATCTTATGTGACATCAGCATCATTTACCTGCTGTTTGGGTGAAGAACAGACCTGAAAACTGTCAGCACTGAATATTTCAGTTCTTCCTCCTCAATAATTTCTTGAAAATATTTGGTGCTGATACTAATGATGAAGTTTTGAAGGAATCATATTTGCCACTGGCTTTTGTGTGGAGGCACCAAATATTCCATAGATGCTGATTATATCCTAAACTTTTATTGCCACGAGTGATCTGCTTTCACCTGGGAGTTTTCCTCCCATCCCAGTGTCAAAGGCCCTGCAATATGGATGCTGTTAGAAGTGACAAAGTGAACTTGTTTTATTGAAAGATGCAGGGCAGGTCTGTGCTGGGATACCAATAATAGCAGGTCTCCCAGATTCCTTCCCTTGCCTCTCTCCCAAACAGTGGGAACATCATCGTGGCCACCCCGGGGCGCCTGGAGGATTTGTTCAGGAGAAAAGCAGACGGGCTGGATCTTGCAAGTTGTGTGAAGGCTCTTGATGTGTTGGTGTTGGATGAAGCAGACAGACTCCTAGATATGGGCTTTGAAGCCAGGTATTGAAATAATAAATTCTAATAATCCTAAAGTTTTTAATGAGTTTAAATGATTGATGGGAATGAGTGTGGCCTGCAATGGTTTGTTCTGTTTTGTCTTTTTTCTCTCTTTGCTCCATAAAGCAATTGCTAAGTGGGAAGAGAATCAGGAAAAGTGGATCCTTGATTAATACAGAGTTTAAAATTTCTTTTGTTCTCATGTATATTAGCACATCTCTCTTTAAGATGTTTATAAACACATCTCTATTTAATGCTTGGTTAAGCATCATTATTCACACATCAGAATGGCTTAGAACACTTCAACAAATAAGCTTTGATCTCCCTTTTCTCTTTGTTTAAGTTAATTATTTCAATAGGAGTTTGTCATGTGATGATAAAACCTATTCTGCTTGTAAGTTCTTGTAAACTCTTCCTTCAGTGATTAAACCTCTTTCTGAGGGGAGCCTTGGGACAGTTATGTTTTCCATGTGCTTGCTTGCAGTTTAAATGCCATCCTGGACTTTTTGCCCAAGCAGAGAAGGACAGGTCTGTTCTCAGCTACTCAGACTCAGGAGGTGGAGAACCTGGTGAGAGCAGGGCTCCGGAATCCCGTCCGGATCTCGGTGAAGGAGAAGGGAGTGGCAGCAACCAACACCCAGAAAACTCCCACACGCCTGGAGAACTATTACATGGTGGGAACCTGGGCTTTGAGAGAGCTTCTTGTTCCCTCTCCTTTTTTCCTGGTTCTGTCAATAAGTTTTTAAGTCTTAGGATCACATTAATGGAAGAACCAGAAGTCTATTTTCTTACTTTTCTTTTTTTCTCTTGGATTGTTTAGATCTGCAAAGCAGATGAAAAATTTAATCAGTTGGTGCATTTTCTTCGGCAGCACAAACAGGAAAAACATCTGGTCTTTTTTAGGTAATTTTGTTGGTGTTTCATTGTGAAAACAGTTTTATTAATAGCGTTTTATTAAATTCCAAACCTACCCTGTGTTGCCAAGGATACAACTTTTTCAAAGTGATTAATTTTGAGAGCTGTCTTGTAGAATATGGTGCCTAAAAAGAGATTAATCATTTCTTCATCTGAAGATTGTGTTGAATGTTATTAATCAAAACAGAAATTTTAGATGCAATTTTCAAGTAAGACATCATAGATGATTATATGTAATTTATAAAAATTATGTGCCTGTTTTATATAAAAATAGTCAATAGTGTATATTTTTGAAACATTTCAGACCACTCGAGTTTGACTGTCTAAACCAGATTAAAAATGCAGCATAATCTTTTGACTTAATGCCTGTCTTTATCACCACAGCACGTGTGCCTGTGTGGAATACTATGGGAAGGCTTTGGAATCCTTGATTAAACAAGTGAAAATAATGAGCATTCATGGGAAAATGAAGCACAAGCGTAACAAGATCTTTACCGAGTTTCGGAAGCTCCCGGGGTAAGAACTGGGGCTGAACCAGCCAAAAGTCAGAGCAGTGAGGGGCATTTCGGTGATTTTGTCTGACTATTGTCCTGCTACTTGAGCAGGGAAGAACAGCTGAGGAGGAGGATGCTACAGGCTGGTTCTGAGTGTATTTATAATATCACAGAGTGGGAACCAGAGCAAAACCCCAGGATATTATTTTTGCAGTGTGTGAACAAGAATGTGGTAACACAAGGCTGTAACTTAACTGCAGAAAAGTGTTCTTTGGCAGCTCTGCAGGATGTTAAGAGACTCTTGCCTCATTAGCTGTCATTATTTATTGCGTGGGACCTGAGCTTTGGCATTTTATATTATGAGAAAAATAATTACCAGCAGATTGGAAGAACAGCTGTTTAAAAGACCAGCATTTAAAAGACCAGTTTTGATGTGCTGAAATTGTCACTCTCTTTAAGTTTTTTATTGAAACATTTATAATAGTACATTCAGCTGTCGTTGTTGCAATGCTGATTTAGAATTTGAATATGTAATAGGAAATTGATTTTTCTTAGAAATGTAATATAAATCACAATAATTTTCATAATGTTATGTGGAATTTTAGTTGGTGGAAGCTGCAGTTACCTTATATTTTGTCTCTTTTAAATGCCCAAATGTTTCTAATGCTCTGTCCCCCCCTGTCCAGTGAAGATGCAGAACACACAGCTGGGGG